CAGTAGGTTTAAAACAAATACAAGGAAGTTCTTCTTCACACAGCGCAAAGTCAACCTCTGTAACTCCTTGCCTGAGGAGGTTGTGAAGGCTAGGACTATAACAGAGTTTAAAAGAGAACTAGATACATTCTTGGAGGTTAAGTCTATTAATGGCTATTAGCCAGGATGGGTAAGAAATGGTGTCCCTAGCCTCTCTTTGTCAGAGGGTGGAGATGGATGGCAGGAGAGAGCTCACTTGATCATTGCCTGTTAGGTTCACTCCCTCTGGGGCACCTGGCATTGGCCACTGTCGGCAGACAGGATGCTGGGCTGGATGGACCCTTGGTCTGACCCAGTATGGCCATTCTTATGTTCTTATGTACTGTTCTGCGCAGAATTTCTTTTTCACTGCAGAATTGGCACTGCAGAACTGCTGGCTGCCACTAGGGGCTGCTGGATCCAGCAGAGCCCAGCTTCCTAGCTTGCAAATAGAAGGCCCCGCCAGGGGACAGGGAAGGAGGAGCTAGAGGGTTCCCAGCAGGTACAGTTCCCGGCACACTCTGAAGGAAGGAGGCGGCATTCAGGAAACTCAGTACAAGCCTGTGACCTAGCATCAGGCAGTTTCTCCCTCTGGGCACTGTGGGGAGGAGGTGCGGGTGCCCTACAACTGGGCTCTGAGGAGGGAGGGGTTGCAGGTGTCTGGGTGCATGGGTACCTGCAGCTGGGCTCTGGGGGCAAGGGGTTGTCTGGGGGCAAGGGGTTGTGGGTGTCTGGGCTGAGGGGTGCCCCACGGCTGGGCTCTGTGGGCAGAAGGTATGGGTGTCTGCCACCCCCTCTCCCCCGTCTCAGCTCTGGGTGGGAGGGGGCAGAGATACAGGAACTGGGTTGTCGTAGGCTTTTTTTTAACACTCTACTCCTGGGGGAATTTTTGTTGTCTTTATTGTTACAAACATAGTTGCTGACAGGTATTTTGAAATACATTACTAAAATAATTGCAACTGATGCAATTATATAGTGTTATTTTGACAAATAAAATTTGCAGAATTTTAAAATATTGTGTGCTGAATTTTAATTTTTTGGTGCAGGATTCCCTCAAGAGTGCCATTCTTATGTTCTTATCTTAAACATTCTTTCTTCTTTACAGCATGCTATCTTATTGTATTATAGGCAGTGATTACCCTCCCTACAGTGTCTTATGATTCATAATGCAGAAGACTTCTGTGATAACCACCATCATTTTCTGTATATGTTTATAAAGAAGAATGACTAATTTATATCAATGTGTGTATGGGGGAATTAAAATATTAGTATCTAATCAAATGACCAATTAAAAACAACAGAATTTTGCACCTGCTTGGCTGTGAATAAATAAGAAATTAAAAAAATCTATTCACATAGCACAGAAAAGGCAATGTCAAAATATTGTACAATGCCACTTAATGTGAAAAATGCTATAAAATGTTTAAAAGCATTTTCCAACTAATTACAAGGCAAACATTTAAGTACAAGCTAGTTACAATGCCTAAGTTGTGAACTTTGGGCTTTTCCCCTTCTCCCCATCAAAAAGCCATAGATTTGTACTTTCTGAAACCAGACTTCAAAATTAGTTCGTCCTTGCCCAATAAACCACTTCAGGATGGCATTCTAACCTTGTAATACACAGCTGAGTAATGTATAATACATGGGAGCTTTATGGAACCTATAATCAAATAGAGCAAAACTGAATGTATAATTTATGTAAACTTTATTTTGTGTAAAGTGGGTGAATATTTGAGTAAATATTTGAGTAACTTGCATAATATCAGTATATTGCCTCACATTTATGCAGGATACATTGAATACAGAGTAGATCATCTTTCTGATTATTATTTATGTATGTGATTGTCAGACTGTATTGTATTGTAAACCTGTATAGTATTGTAAACCTGAGAGGTGGGATTTTTCAAAAGCTCTGTGTGTCTGCTCCCAATTAATCAGTGACTTAGTGCTTTTGGAAATCCCACCTTATATCAATATGTTCATATTGGACTATAGTATGTAATGCTAGTATTTAATTTATATTCAATAAATTTTGAATATTAACTGTTGATGCCCGAAATTCCATCCTTTTCAGAAAGCCTTGATTGCTGTCAATAAGCAGAGTGCCAGGAAACAGTGGGATTGTTAGCTTTGAGCAGAAGGGGAAATCTATTTGTTTTTTCATTCCAGTAACATTTTCATTTCCTCTTTCAGTTTTTCTGTCTTACTGAAACACAAATGAATGCATGTTTTCATAAACAATCATAAGAGACTGTCTTCATAAAAGAAGTAAATCGAGGTAGTTTTGCTACTGATGTATTTTATTTTAAGGAATCTTTTCTTTTCTTAGATATGCCAGTTTAACTGTTTGAAATGGAGAGACCCAAATAAATGCAAGCCAGACCAGAGCTACAGAAATAGTAATAAAGCTTCCACACATATAGTGTGGCCCTCTTTATCTTTTCCATGTTAGTTCATTATATAAGGCCCTAATCCATGGTAAGCACATGTTTAATTTTGCACATGTGAATAGTTCCATTTTAGTTGTTAAATTTAGTCCATGTGTAGGATCCGTGTGTAAAGGAACAGGGGACAGTGAGAATTGTTATACTGGATCAAACCAGTGGTCCATCTTGTCCAGTATTCTGTGTTTCACAGAAATGTATAAATCCCCCAAATGAAAATGTCTGTGATAAACATGCCCATGGGGGAAGTTCCTTTATAACCCCAGGGATATGTGGTTGATATGTCTTTGAAGTGTGAGGTTCCTATCTCTTACATGTTTTCATCTCATTTAGCGGAACGGCCAATTTTCTTGTTCACACTTCAATATTTTTCCCTAATTTTTTTCAATAATATCTTGTGGTACTGAGTTGCACAAGGTTATATGGTTCTATTTTTATTCATCCTTGTATTTAGGTTTCAAAAAATATATTAAAAAGATGCCAGTTTAACATTTTAGTTTCCTTTTAACAGATTAGAGGCAAATAAACCTAAAAAAGCAGCTAACCGCACCAACAGCTCCCACAATAACTGTGTCTCTCAGCATGCAATCCCTATTCAAAAGCATGAACTTCTGCAAAGTTTTTATATTAGCAGAGAGAAACTAGGACTGCCTGATTGACCTTTCCTATAATATTAATTGCATTAAACAACCAAGCTTATTTAATTTAGAGAAGACAAATAAGATGTGACAGGATTGAAGTGTTTAAAAACTTCCAACCTGAGAAGAGATTGTATGCCTTTTGTGATTTTTTTATTTTTTTATTTTTTTAATTTTTTTTTATTGCCTTTCTTTGAACCTTTTATATTTCTGTTATATCTTTTGAGAGATGGGATGGCCAGAACTGAGCACAGTATTCAAGGGAAGGGTTTACTATCAATTTATGTAATGGCAGTATGAGGTTTCGCTATCCTTTTCTTAATAAAAACCTAAATCTTATTTGGTTTCTGACTACCATTTTACATTGAGCAGAGGTTTTCATTGAGCTGTCAACAAGGGTGCTTGTGTCTCTCTCCTGAGTGGTTGATGGCTTCTAAATTAACAGCAAAGTGTAGGAGTAGTTTAAATTGTTCTCTCCCATATTCATTTCCTTGTACTGATCTGCCTTGAATTTAATCTGTTTTCATGTTGCCAATTGTCTAGCTTTATTAGGTCCTTTAGAAGTTTCTCAGTCTTCTCTAATTGTGACCACCATTTGGTGTCGTCACAAAACTCTAATGCTAATATTGCTGTATAGTTTGGTTTTGAGCAATATATATATTTCATGCAATACTGATGGTCAATAGTAATTGTCAAACTGCATATAACTTGTTAAACATATTATTTTAATGGCAAGGAATAAGCTAATAGATGGCTGCTCCTTTCTACCCAGTGAATTGGGAGGATGTGACCTGCCATAAAAGTATCCTGAGAACATCTTGAGTTTAATTAAAAAATGTGGTGAAGTAAAAGTGTTTTATTGTACACACGTATGCTGTTCTTGACCTGTGTATTGTCATTACCTCTAATTCAGAACTTTCTTGGGGGCCAGTTCCAGATTGTGGGATTAATTCCCCCAAGAAATAATGACCATCACAATCTGCACCACCTTCCACATCAAGTACAAGGCACATTTATTTGACCTTGCCTTCTTTAGCATAAACACATAGCAACATGCATATTTAAAAAAACAAACCAAATTCTCCCTCCTTCCTGTCCTCCCCCCCCCCCCCAAAAAAAACAAAAACAACACCATCCACCATACCCAAAACCCACTCTATTTCTCCGCTAGGGACAGGAGGAGAGAACAAACACAGGACAAGTGTTAATCATATTGCTTAATGCACTGCTGGAAAATGGTCAGATATCAGAGTGTTGAGCATGGTATGAGAACCTATATAGAGTAGAATGGTAGTTAACTGCAATACGGTAATTTGATGGGAGGTTTTTAATAGTAAGTAGAATTTGTTGCCAGCAAACTTAAGTTATCTTACATCAGTCACAAATTTATCAATTCTGGAGCATAGGTGTGTTTTTAAAAACGATAGCAATATGCATCCCCAGATGAAATTTTGGCCCTGCTGTTAAATTGGATGACTTTTTAAATATATATTAGATTTAGGAGTGAAGGTGGAATCCTGCAGGGATAATTCTTATCACAAATATCTACAGTCAATAGCTTCAGAGAAATTCTGTAGAAGTAAGCAAGCTACTAAACTGAAGGGTTACAACAAGCTGGGAAATGATTCATTTATGTTCAAGGTCATAAGCAGGTAATTGTATTGTTTTAGTAAAATAGCATGTTCTATAGATAGGAGACAGTTTATTGTGTGTGCTTAAGCATGAAATAGTAATTATATTGGCTTTAGAATGATATTTGAAAAAACTGGCATAAAAATTTGGAGGTAAGAATAGAAATGATATAAATGGTATTCTCTTTAATGACTTTGTGATAGGGAGAGAGGAAAATAGACCAGACATATTTGTTAAGTGTATTTTTGTATCTTAATATATCTTGCAGAGCCAGTGTTTTGGTACTACGTAAGAGAAGTTCTGAATAAACATGAACTACAGCGCTTCTACTCTCTGAGGACTATTACTACAGATATTGGCAGAGGCCGTGCCTGGCTACGCTGTGCATTAAATGAACATTCTCTGGAAAGATATGTCCATATGCTGCTTGCAGATAAAAATCGACTTAGGTAACTATATTTAATGACTTAATAATGGAGGAATGCATGCAATTGCAGACTAAGCACTGGCATTTAAAAATATCTGAAACTAGTAGTCGATGAAGTCCATTTTATTTTAGTTAAACCACATAGTATCACACTTTTAACTGCTGTTTTAAATTTTTCATAGACAACTGTTTACTATACAATTTATTTTATAATCTGTCCAAAGCGTTCTAAAAATTTCAGTGGCTAGCGCAGAGGATAGGAAATAATGCACAATGGAAAACATAATCCCAACTAAACATATAAAATGATGGGGTCTAAATTAGTTGTTACTACTCAAGAAAGAGATCTTGCAGTCATTGTGGATAGTTCTCTGAAAACATCCACTCAATGTGAAGCGGCAGTGAAAAAAGCTAACAGAATGTTGTGAATCATTAGGAAAGGGATAGATGATATGATATATGGCCTCTATATAGATCCATGGTACACCCACATCTTGAATATTGCGTGCACATCTGGTTACTCCATCTCAAAAAAGATATTTTGGAATTGGAAAAGGTACAGAAAAGGGAAATAAAAATTATTAGGGGTATGGAACAGCTTCCATACGAGGAGAGATTAATAAGATTGGGACTGTTCAGTTTGGAAAAGAGATGACTAAGGGGGAATAGGATAGAGGTCTATAAAATCACGACTGGTGTGGAGAAAGTAAATAAGGAAGTGTTGTTGTTTATTCTTTCTCATAACACAAGAACTAGGGGTTACCAAATAAAATTAGTAGGCAGCAGGTTAAAAACAAAAGGAAGTATTTCTTCACACAACACAACCTGTGGAACCCTTTGTCAGAGGATGTTGGGAAGATTATAACAGGGTTCAAAAAAGAACTAGATAAGTTCATGGAGAATAGGTCCATCAATGATTGTTAGCCAGGATGGGCAGGGATGGTGTCCCTATCCTTTGTTAGCCAGAAGCTGGGAATGGGCCACAGGGGATGGATTACTTGATGATTGCCTGTTCTGTTCATTCCCTCTGAAGCGCCTGGCATTGGCCACTGTCAGAAGACAGGATACTAGGCTAGATGGACCATTGGTCTGACCCAGTATGGCTGTTGTTATGTTTTTATGATTTTGGACTCAGGATTCAGGGTTCTGTCAGACTTTGAGGAAGTCACTTAATCACTGTGTCTCAACTTATTTGTAAAAAGGGTAGTGTGCTATAGAAGTGTTAAGGAATAATTTAACGTGCACTTTGTAATCGTCAGATGAAAGGCACTATGGAAGTGGGTAATGTTATTGATTTTAATCACATTCAGTTCTATATGACATACTTTTGTCCTTTTCTCCAGTCTGCTTAGATCCTCCTGTCGCTGAAGATTCTCAAGAATATCTGTTATCCTTCCAGTGTATGTCATCCATAGATTTTGGGCCTTATCCGACTCCTGTTGAATTCAATAGAAAGATTTCCTTTTAATATCAAGCAGTTTGCTCCCCTTTCTAAATCACTTTATGGGTGTAGCAAGCAAGATCATTCCTAGCAGTAAGCTGTTGGGGACCCACTTTTCCACTCCATAGAAAAAGATTTCCTTCCATCTACTCTGAGTTACTCTAGCCTTTCTGCTGGCTAGTTAACATTCAAGACATCCAATCTTTCACAGACGCCTCCAGTTTTTTACTTAACCTTCAAGTTTTTTGTTTGGTATCTTATCAAATGTCTAAGGGAAGTACTCTTATTTGTATAGTGGTAGTGTCTGTACATAATAAAGAAAGAGGTAGATTCAGGGTTGACCCAAGGAACTCTTGATGCCAACTGGGAGAGGGCCCTGGGGTACAGGGATCCCCTGGATTCACCGAAAGAATGACATGCAAGATCTTTAATGAAAGACTGTGTCACAGCGGTCATAATCATTGTGAGATGTTTATATGGAAAATATGCGAGGAGTTATGTGTATATATGCTGAAAATTATGTTCTCTAGCCTTGTAGTTAAAGGCAGAAAACTCAAAGATAGCATGCTTTGGGTATGTCTACACTACGGGATTAATCCAAATTTACAGAATTCGATTTTTGGCAACTGATTGTATAAAGTCAAGTGTATGCGGCCACACTAAGCACATTCATTCGGTGGTGTGTGTCCATGTACTGAGGCTAGCGTCGACTTCCGGAGCGTTGCACTGTGGGTAGCTATCCCATAGTTCCCGCAGTCTCGTCTGCCCATTGGAATTCCGGGTTGAGATCCCAATGCCTGATGGGGCAAAAAACATTGTCGCAGGTGGTTCTGGGTACATCCTCCCCCTCCCTCCGGGAAAGCAATGGCAGACAACATTTTCGTGCCTTTTTCCTGGGTGAACAATGCAGATGCCATACCGCGGCAAGCATGGAGCCCGCTCAGCTGAAGACAACAGTCATGAACATTGTAAACACCTCGCACGTTATTGTGTGGTTTATGCTGAACAGGTACCTGCAAAACCAGGCGACGAGGAGTAGGCTACGGCAGCGCGGTGACGAGAGTGATGAGGCCATGGACATGGAATTCTATCAAACTGCGGGCCCCGGCGCTTTGGAGATCATGCTGTTAATGGGGCAGGTTATAGCCGTGGAAACAAGGCCCGGTTCTGGGCCCGGGAAACAAGCACAGACTGGTGGGACCGCATAGTGTTGCAGGTGTGGGATGATTCCCAGTCGCTGCGAAACTTTCGCATGCGTAAGGGCACTTTCATGGAACTTTGTGACTTGCTCTCCCCTGCCCTGAAGCGCCAGAATACCAAGATGAGAGGAGCCCTCACAGTTGAGAAGCAAGTGGCGATAGCAATGCAAGACAGCTACCAGTCAGTTGGGAATCAGTTTGGAGTGGGCAGATCTACTGTGGGGGCTGCTGTGATGCAAATAGCCACAGCAATCACTGAGCTGCTGCTACGAAAGGTAGTGTCTCTGGGAAATGGGCAGGTCATAGTGGATGGCTTTGCTGCAATGGGATTCCCTAACTGTGGTGGGGCGATAGATGGAACCCATATCCCTATCTTGGCACCGGAGCACCAGGGCAGCCAGTACATAAACCGCAAGGGGTACTTTGCAGTGGTGCTGCAAGCACTTGTGGATCACAAGGGACGTTTCACCAACATCAACGTTGGATGGCCGGGAAGGGTTCATGATGCTCGCATCTCCAGGAACACTAATCTGTTTAAACGGTTGCAGCAAGGGATTTACTTCCCAGAAAATAACCATTGGGGATGTTGAAATGCCTATAGTTATCCTTGGGCACCCAGCCTATCCCTTAATGCCATGGCTCATGAAGTCATACACAGGCAGCCTGGACAGTAGTCAGGAGCTGTTCAACTACAGGCTGAGCAAGTGCAGAATGGTGGTAGAATGTGCATTTGGACGTTTAAAGGGACGCTGGCGCACGTTACTGACTCGCTCAGACCTCAGTCAAACCAATATTCCCATTGTTATTGCTGCTTGCTGTGTGCTCCACAATCTCTGTGAGAGTAAGGGGGAGACCTTGATGGCCGGTGGGAGGCTGAGGCAAATCGCCTGGCTGCTGATTACTCGCAGCCAGACACCAGGGCAATTAGAAGAGCACACCAGGAAGCACTGTGCATCAGAGAAGCTTTGAAAAACAGTTTCATAACTGGCCAGGCTACGGTGTGAAAGTTCTGTTTATTGAAAACCTGCCCCCTTTATTGACTCATTCCCTGTAAGCAAACCACCCTCCCCCCTTCGATCATGTATTCTTTATTAATTGATTATAAACATAGGGAGAGAATTGACAAGGTAGCCCGGGTGGGGTTTGGGAGGAGGATAGGAGGGAAGGAGAAGGCCACTAAAAAAATTCAAAGTAATGACATCCTTTTGCTTAGGCTGTCCACTGGAGTGGAGTGGGAGGGTGCACGGAGCCTCCCCCCCTGCGTTCTTACACGTCTGCGTGAGGAGGCTATGGAACATGGTGGGGGGGAAGGAGGTTATACAGCGGCTGCAGTGGCACTCTGTGATCCTGCTGCTGTTCCTGAAGCTCCACCAGACGCCGGAGCATGTCCGTTTGATTACGCAGCAGCCCCAGTGTTGCAGCCTGCCACCTCTCATCTAGAGCGTCCCTTATGGCCTCACGTTCACTGGCATCTTTCCTGTACTTTGATACCGTGTCCTTCCACTCATTCAGATGAGCTCTTTCATTGCGGGTGGATTCCATGATTTCAGAGAACATGCGGCTTTGGTGTTAGAGATCACAGACGCAGGTCTGGGCAACAGAATTCGGCTTGCATGTGGCCATGGTAAGCCATTGTCTTTCGGCTTCTGCAGCCTTAAAGCAGCGCCCTCCTTTCCCACATAGCAAGCAAAGCCCGTTGAGTGGTGCGGTTTTCCTGTTAATGTGCAGCAGCAGAAACCAAACTAACCCCCACCCCCCTCCAATTCTCTGGGATGATCGCTTTATCCCTTCCCCCTACCACATGGCTGGTATCCGGGAAGATCCCTGGTAGGCAAACGCGAAAAGCTCAGCGCCAATGATCCTTCCCTCCCCCCTTCCCCCTACTTGGCTAACTGCAGGGAAGGATTTCTTTTCAGCCACAGGCAAACAGCCCAGTAGGAATGGCCACCTCTGCCCCCTTAATTAAATTCCCGTATTTCAACCGGGTTACCATGAACGATATCACTCTCCTGAGGATAACACAGCGAGATAAAGAACAGATGTTGCTTGAATGCCAGCAAACACGTTAACAGACTTTTCCAGTAGCTGTACTGGCCGCGAATGCATCCCAAGTCCTCAGGGTAAATTAATCATTAAAAAATGCTTGCTTTTAAACCATGTTTTATATTTACAAAGGTACACTCACCGGAGGTCCCTTCCATGGCCTCATTGTCTGGGGGTTGGGAGGGTACTTCAGTCAGGCTGAGAAAAAGATCCTGGAGGTTGGGGAGAAAGGAGTGCTGTGTGCTCTCCACAAGCTCGTCGTCATCCTCCTCCTCATCATCTTCTCTGTCCGCAGAATCCTCAGGCATGGCTGAGATTACCCCCTGCTCGGAATCCACAGTCAGAGGTGGAGTAGTGGTGGCAGCCCCCCCTAGAATTGCATGCAGCTCAGCGTAGAAGCGGCATGTCTGCGGCTCTGACCCGGAGCGACCGTTTGCATCCTTTGTTTTTTGATAGGCTTGTCTGAGCACCTTAACTTTCACATGGCACTGTAGTGAGTCCCTATTGTGGCCTCTCTCCATCATGCCCTGGGAGATTTTTTCAAAAGTTTTGGCATTTCGTCTTTTGGAACATAGTTCTGCTAACACGGAATCCTCTCCCCATATAGCGATCAGATCCAGTACTTCCCGTACGGTCCATGCTGGTGCTCTTTTTCGATTCTCTGCATGGTTACCTGTGCTGATGAGCTCTGCGTAGTCACCTGTGCTCTCCACGCTGGCCAAACAGGAAATGAAATTCAAAAGTTCGCAGGGCTTTTCCTGTCTACCTGGCCAGTGCATCCAAGTTCAGATTGCTGTCCAAAGCGGTCACAATGGTGCACTGTGGGATAGCTCCCAGAGGCCAATACCGTTGAATTGCGGCCACACTAACCCTAATTCGAAATGGCAATACTGATTTCAGCACTACTCCCCTCGTCGGGGAGGAGTACAGATATCGATATTAAGAGTCCTTGATGTTGAAGTAAAGGGCTTCGTTGTGTGGACGGGTGCAGGGTTAATTAGGTTTAATGCTGCTAAATTCGAGATAAACTCGTAGTGTAGACCAGGCCTTTGAGACAAACTTCTCCATACAGGAGGTGGGGAGAAACATCTCCCCCTGGTGGACCACTGTGTATTGTGTGTCTTGCAACAGAAGTCTATTAGCATACTGAGTCAAATGCTAATGAAGAGCTTGTGGAGAATTCATTAGGAAATGAACAAGAAGAGGTAAATAGCAAGGGATGGGATGGGAACCTTCTTTTCTGATGAAGATCAAAAGACTGATCTGGTATATCTGAGGTGCAGAGAGAGGCTCTATGTGTACATAAGAACATAAGAAAGGCCGTACCGGGTCAGACCAAAGGTCCATCTAGCCCAGTATCCTGTCTACCGAAAGTGGCCAATGCCAGGTGCCCCAGAGGGAGTGAACCTAACAGGCAATGATCAAGTGAGCTCTCTCCTGCCATCCATCTCCATCAGACAGAGGCTAGGGACCCCATTCCTTACCCGTCCTGGCTAATAGCCATTAATGGACTTAACCACCATGAATTTATCCAGTTCTCTCTTAAACTCTGTTATAGTCCTAGTCTTCACAACCTCCTCAGGTAAGGAGTTCCACAAGTTGACTGT